TGTAATACAGATGAGGGCTCACAGAAAGCATTCAATAACCAAGCCTTTAATATGGAGAATTATATTCAGAGTTTGTTTTTCATCTCAGTTGGGCTGCTTTTGTGAAGTGTTATGCAAATGCATTATATAATGTGAACGCAGTTAAATATGTTTGACATTGTTTCAAATTTGATAGCGCTGTGACAGATAGTTTCCCTATTTCTAATTACTTTGTGTTCATTATCAGATTGACAGGGGTTCTGGGAGAAGTTTCCAGATTCATTCATTTAAATGATCCTGATATAAAAATCTTTAGGGGCTTCATATTTCAACAATTACAATTCTAATGTTTAAAATAAAACAGTTCATAAATCAAGCTTTTACATGAAAAACTGTTTCTTATTCATCAGAATCCATGTTTAATTAGTCCATTCATGCACTAAGAGTGAAACACTTTCTCTTGATGAGTGTTGTGTGTGTGTGTGTGTGTGTGTGTGTGTGTGTGTGTGTGTGTGTGTGTGTGTGTGTGTGTGTGTGTGTGTGTGTGTGTGTGTGTGTGTGTGTGTGTGTGCGTGCGTGCGTGCGTGCGTGCGTGCGTGCGTGCGTGCGTGCGTGCGTGCGTGCGTGCGTGCGTGCGTGCGTGCGTGCGTGCGTGCGTGCGTGCGTGCGTCTGTTTGAGACTATTAATGCTCTTCAACTGAACCTTTTTCTTTTGATTTGCCTTTGATATTTAGTTTGATATAACTTCAAGCTTTATTTGAATTGAATTATTTACATATAGACATCAGAGAAGCATTGATCAACTCGTCTACTGATTGAAAAAAGAAAACCAATATGTCCAACAATAACGAGTAATGAAGGTCTTGTTTTTTCCCACAAGGCATTATTGGCAGCAATTCAATGATCTCTCCTTGATGAGCAGTAAAAGGTTGCATGACATTGATTTTTATCTACCTCAGTGCATTTATTTACCGGATATGTGGGATATGGGTCATCCAGTTCAGGGATGTCAAACATAAACATATATGTATACTGTATTAGACAAATGGATACAGTGCCAAGGATTGACCCCTGTGGAACACCAATCTATACAGTCAGAAATTCAAATCATGCAAAGTGAAACCTATGTTTTCAATGTTTCTAGTTTTATAGTGGCACACTAATTGGTTGACAACTTGCTGTGAAAAATACAGTACAATACACATCAAGCTAATATTGCAAGTTACTGAAGTAAGCAAAAATATTTACGCATGTTTTTCTGTATAACCCTGTGTTACAGTGTGTTTTTCTCTGACACCTGCAGGAGGTGAAGTACTTCCAGTTTCCTGGAGAGCTGCTGATGAGGATGTTGAAAATGTTGATTTTGCCCCTCGTCGTATCCAGGTATGAGCAATATAGCCACACACACACAAAGACACACACACACATATATAATGTGTGAGTCGATTGACAGACTTGATTAAGGATTGACAGTATTTTCAGGAAGAAAGTAGATTCTGTGTATTCTGTGACAAACAAAGAATCTATACATGCACATTGATTTTCCAATCACTAACCCCTGTTGCATTGATGTTTAAAATTTGGCGGTGTTGCATTCTTGATGCTGAAATTATTTGAACCAAACCTGCACAGGACAGATCTGCAATCATTCACCTCCACCCACATACATATAAAGAAGGGCTTGTTCCAATGCGCTGCACAATCTATTTGCAGATAGCATATAATTTCCACTGGCAGTATTATTGCTTTGAAAATGTACTTTCCGAGATACAAGGGCTACATTCCTCACCTTTTCTTTTTGATTAGATGAAACATAACATTCCAGCAGCATGGGAGCTATGGCACGTGCACACATATACATCAAAGTGGGCTTGAGCCCCTGCCCTTTTTCTTCCTCCAGAGAAAGTGCCCTTTTAAAAAAAAAAAAGAAGAAATGAATATATATCTACTGCTGTTTGCGCTCAGTTTCCCTTTCCAAAAATATATTGATTGAATACAAAATAAAAATATCAGGTCGGGAGATTAGACTGTGAAGTTCCAATGCTCTCTCTCTACCCTCCCTCCCTCCACGTCTCGCGCACAGCGGTGCGGACATCGGCAGTCACTTCAGACAGACAGGTAGCAGCACCTCCCACTTTACTGTCCCACTTTACTGTCCCATGTTATGCCGGCTTTTCTTGGCTTGTTTGAAGGTGAGTGGTGATGAACAAATGACTAAGCTGCCAGTTCCTCGAGTTTAAAGCTAATTAGCCAAAAGACAAAAACAAATAGGCCTATAGTTAACTAAGGTAGGCTACTAGCTAATGGATAAGTTAGCTCAAGGTTTAGCTAAGACAATTTATCATGGGCATACAGGCTAATGTACTGTACTTAAGGGGAGACGGACACTAAAGGTGAATACAGTCAAATGTGTATCTAATATCGTCATCACAATCGCCACATTGATATGCAAATTAGGCGTTAACTAGGCCTAATTAAAATGCGCTAATATGCATGCAGTTACCAAGGCATTGCAGGTGAAAAGGATAAAACAAAAAACAAACAAAAAAACATATCACCTCACAACTTCCCCAGATAGTTACTTACGTCAAGTCAGTATTTTCCTCTGAAATGTTATGTTTAAATGCAGATTAGCTTTAAATCTATAGATGAATTCAGACATGCAGTAAAATGAACACCATTTATATATGTTTTTTGGAAGTTTTCTTTCCATTAGAGTGAAAGAAAACATGGAAGCAAAATAGACCAAAATAACACAATTTACAAGTACATGAAAAAACGATATTTTTGCCTGTAATGTCCTTAAACAGTAACTTCATAATTTTGATTGTTGGCTGCTCATTTAATAACTATTAATTTGACTAGTTTGTTGTCTGCTCTTGTGCATTGTGAATACTAAAGAAGACCTTTGTCTCTGTGTTAACTGATTATTTTGTAGAATTCTGTTGTGTATTAAACAATTGCGTGAGTGTGAGGCTATTAAAATTAATTGGTCAGTAAGTCAGAGATGTGCAACTATATTTAACTTTTTGTTTTAAAACATTTTTTTATAAATGATTATGGGAAGTGCCCTTTTTCTGTCTGTGCACGTCCCTGGCTATGAATGTTCTGCTGAGAAGCAGAAGAGACAAAAGAGACAGCATCTGAATGAGAGCTACTTCATAGAGAATTGATCATGACTTTGACCATTGATATATACCCTTGACAAGTCTTATCGGAAAACCAGTTCTGTGGAATTCCAACCCAGTCTCACAAATACCCCTTTCACACCAACGGTGTTTCAGGGCCGGTTCGGTGCTGGTGCTTGAAAAGCACCGGGTTTTCCTGTTCACACCGCAGCGGAGCAGCGTCATAGCTCCGGAATCCGGTTCGTTTCGAGCACCAAAAAGTTGTCCGTCTAGAAGCAAGAACCGCATACGTCACGCTTACGTCGGAGGGGGGCGAGATTAACCTGAGCTAACACTTAAGGCGAGTACGGCAAATAAAAGTTGTAACAAGCAGTAGTGCTGAGCAAAGTGACTAGAACGCAACCACACACTTGTTAAAAAAAACACACTTTATAAAGTCAGGCAACACTAACCAGGCTTCGTGTGATTCTGTTTATTTGTACCTTACTTTGACCATCCGTTCGCTGTTATTGATCATTGTGGAGAGCAGGCAGACGTTTTGTTTGTTATTATAGCAGCTATCGGATGGAATCAATACATGGGCTGCACAGGTTGTCATGTCCGACTATCACAAGTAGAATCATAATGAAAAATACGTCGGTAAAAAGTGCCTGTAGAAAACTGCTTAGCAAGTAGTCAGTTTAGCTTCGGTTGCTATGCTAACATCACCCATGTTATACCAGAGAAACTTTCATAACAGCGTTGTGATGCCAAACAGCGTCAATTCAGACTGACACCAAACAGCGTCAATTCAGACTGACACACATTCACTTAAGGGGAACTGGGGATATGTATCAGCTGCTTGTGTGACAGTCAGACAGTGAATACTTTAGAGCCGTGTGAGCTAACCCGGAGCTAACGGGAGAATACACTCGTGGAAGAGCAGCCGGCCAGCACTGCAGCGGTCGGTAAATGCCGCTGAAACACATTAATAAACAATGAACCACGGCACTCTGGAGAAAAGTATAAGGTTGGAGAAGTCGTTATTTAATTTAATCTGGCTTCGTATGATTAAAAGCAACGCAGTCCCCGGCCCGTTGTTATTGTGAGGTGAGCTCCGGCGTTGGGGAGAAACTCAGCGACGTAAACTGTGACGTCATGACGCAGCAGCGGCAGCACCAGTCGGGCTCTGAGCGGTGTGAAAAGAGCCGGCGCTAAACCGAAGAACCGGTTCTGAACCAGAAAAGCTCTAGCACGGAGCTTGAACCGGAGTTGCGTTGGTGTGAAAGGGGCAAAAGAAACATGTAATAGCTACGTTGGTCCACAGGGCAAAACAAATGCTCTCATTTTGTGACATTGCTATATTATTTTTTCCCCATTTAATTCTAACGGCCATGTCACGTGATCATTAACTCTCCCGGCGTAAAGAAAAAACATGACGGACACCCAACACATTTTTTGTGTCTATGTGTACATTCCTTTCAGAATCTACGTCCAGTGTATGTGTAGGATCTATAGTTTGATAGATATTACGAAGATCTATTAAAGTCTCGCCAGGAAAAATGTGTTTAGACTACGTATTTAAACTTTAGAGGGTGCTATGCGCGCAGCATCAATTGTCCGTGTCAATGTCACAACTAGTGACTACTTTTTGCACTGGACCAACGTAGCCATAACATGTTTTTTGTGAGACTGGGTTGGAACCTTCTGTTAAAACAACATTAGGCGCTTTAACACCGGAGTACTTTTCCCAGGGCCGGCCCTGACCAATTTGCAAAGATTTTAGCTGGCGCCCCCCCCGAAAATGCAGACACTCACTATGACTCGCGCATGCATGCACGTGCACGGTTGTGGCATGATCACCAAAACAGAAAGATATGGACACAAGATGTGTGCAACTGTATTAAGTATCCTATCCATTTGAACATGATTTAAGTGGGGGGTGGACCTAACATCCTCTAGGGGGGTCCGGGGGCATGCTCCCCCGGGAAGATTTTTTTTTTTTAATATTGAAGTTAAAAGCATCAATCTGGTGCACTTTGAGAGCAAAATTAAGAGATCTATGGATACATCTCAGATTTTCTTTTTATTTATGGGTATTTTACAAATCACTCCCCTTTTAAACTGTACTGTTATATAGTATTTTATACCTGTTTTTCACCTATTCTCTTTTTTTATAACTATAATGATTATATAAAGGTGTGCCTTTACCTCACTGAGCTGAGGTTATCAGAGCCTCTCAGTCTTTCAGGAGAGAGCTCTCTAAAGCTCTCCCCCCCGCGGCCGCTTACACAGTAAATTCCAATGTTAATAAAAGCACACAGAAGCTGTATATGTTTTTTGGGAGTTTGATTTATTTTAAATTAACACAAATACAAAATTAAAACCTATAATTGCATACTAAAACCATTATTTCAAAACAAGAACAATTTCACATAAACCTCTGGTTTTTACTGGGGCTGGGGCAGTTCAACTTGATTTTTGGGGGGGGGGGGGTGTGCCATAGTTTATGGGCGCTGTACGCAATATAGGCGTAGTTCTGTTAGTATAAGATAATAAGATGTACTTTGTTGATCCAAAATCGGGAAATTGTGTTCTTATGAAATTTCAAAAGAAAATATTTTTTTTAATTTTCTCCCCAATTTTCGGCACCCCCGATGGGTTGATGCGCCCTTAGCATTCGCCTATACTGCCTATGCCAAGGGCCGGCCCTGACTTTTCCCCATACTTTTCCCGTTTAGTTCCGATAGTTCCTGGGATTTTGCGTTCACACCAAAAAGAGAACTTAGTTCATGAGAACTTGTACCCCCTTTTCAGTCCCTGCTAGAGAGGTGGTACTTTCCTGGGGAGAAAAAAGTTCCAATTTCTGATTGGCTGGGCGAATTGCAAACCACGCCCCGTAAAACTCGGAAAGGTTTTTTGAAGCCGCCATTGTATTTGCTGGCATTAGCATTATTAGCATTAGCATTAGCCCCGCGCACCAACGGAGAGAGAATAACTTATGACAACACAAAAAAAAACATGGGAGCGGTGGAGATGAGGAGGTGTCGGCGGGAGTCCCAGCAGCTTCTACTGAAGCCAGTCCCCAACTCCGGGGACTTCCGGCCGGGGACTTCGGGTGGCAGTATACGCCGTGAAGTTGTTTGCGGCCTGCCAGTAAACCCAAAGCAGAAGAAGAAGAAGTGACGTCAGTGGCTTCATTTGCGTAATCTTCTCTCAGGGAACTTATTCCGGTGTGAACGCGATCGGCTCTTAGTTCGATGGTACTAAGTGCTG